CGATCGGTCTAGACGTATTTTCTTCTTCTCTTGTCATTTTTCTCGTCTTTTCTCGTCCCGCTCGCACATGGTGATTTCCGAGCCTCTTCCCAACACCTTGTTGTCTATTTCTTAAGAGTTTAAGACTCGTTTATATAATTGTTCTTTCCGAAATTAATTAAATATTTGAGTCTGAATCCGGGGTATTACACTTAGCTCGCGATGTTCGTTCACTCGCACTGAAGTCTGCCTACGTCAATCACATAGCTAGCTTCCTTGTCCTCTAAAACCTCCTCGTTAGAACTCAACCTGGCGATAAGAGACACAAACCAATATTTGATGCAAAAAGAAAAAGAAAGGAAAGAAAAACTAACCTAAGAACTCGGGTTGCCTCCCGGGAGCGCTTGTTTAGGGTCTTTAGCTTAACCAAACTCTCTCAACTACCGGATGGGTCTAATGGGCGAAGATTATCGATCTTCTGCCAACCTGAATCATGAAGTTTAAGAGCATCTCTACAACAAAATGAGTTTGAGAAACGAGGCGTATTTGGTAGAGAAAAATCTGGTAGTGATGCATGAGATTAGAGCCAATTCTCACGATGGTCTGATGAGTTAGTGACCTGTTCAACCATGTTAGCTTCTTTCTTACCTTTCGTCCTATCTGGATTTGGTCTTCTCTTAACCTTCTGTCTAAGGTCCTGGTTCTTAGGTGTTTTGAGCTTGTAAACTGAACAAATAGATTTCGCACTTTCGTCTGGATTATCATTTTGATTGAGCATGAATTCTATTATCTCGTCTCCAATGGACATAGTAAGCCGACCCGCTCTGACATGGATGACGACATCTGCTGTGTTGAGAAAGGGACACCCTAAAATGATAGGCATGTTTGGATCTGCATCCATGTCAAGAACCACAAAATCAACAGGTATGTAATAATTATCCACCTTAAGTGGCATATCCTCTAGTATACCTGCAGGCCGTTTGGTCGACCTATATGCTAACTGTAATATCATTTGTGTGGGTTTGAGTTCACCCACATCTAGTCTCTTGAAGATCGACAATGGCATTAGGCTTACGCTTGCTCCTAGATCACATAGCGCATGTTCAATAAAGAGATTACCCAATTTGCAAGGAATGGAGAAACTACCTGGGTTTGCCATCTTACGGGGAAGATCATGCTGAAAAACGACACATCACTCTTTGGTTAATGCTACTGTCTCATTCTCTACTGTCTTCTTCCTAGCTAGAATATCCTTGAGAAATTTGGCATAAGAAGGCATTTGAGTGATTACCTCATGAAAAGGTATTGTGACCTCCAATTTCTTTATCATGTCCGTGAAACGCTTAAACTGGTTGTCCTCTTTTTGTTGCACAAGTCGTGAAGGGAATGGAACTGGAGGAGGTCTGGGAGGTGGGGGTACATACTTTGGTCCTTCCTCACATGTCATCTTAATTTGAGTATCTGCAGACTGAATGTTAGAGGTGATCACAGATCTAGAGTTAGAAGACTCACATTTTTCAGGAGTAGGAGGGACAACATCCTCAAGTTGCTTCCCACTTCTCAAGAACACTGCATTGCAGTGCTCTCTAGGATTTGTCTTGGGCTTCCCAGGAAGTGATCCTTGAGGTCGCGAAGGTATAGATGCTACGAGTTGAGCTATCTGGTTATCGACAAGCTTCAAGTGGGGATCGGTCTCTTGTTGATGTTCACGCATATCGGTGCAGATAGCTTCTTGACCCTGCATAAGCTGTGCAAACATAGATTTAAGATCGAGGGTAGAATCTACTTGTGGTAGAGGCGGAGACAGCGTAATTCTGCTGAGACTGAAGAGGTGCTGGGTAGTGTTGAATGGCCTGATTCTGATGTTGCGGGGGAGTTCGAGGTCGAGGTTGATGTCCTTGAGAAATATCCTGATTAGTCAGACCACCAAAATTTTCGTGGGGAGTATTCAAGACGTTGGAGGAATTCTTGTACGAGAAGTTTGGATGATTCTTCCACCCAGGATTGTACACATTCGAGTACAGGTTGTTATCTATGTAGTAGACATCTTCGATCATGTACCCGTTGGCTGATGTGTCTAAATCTGAGATCTGATGGACATTCTCAACCTGCATTTTAAGTTTTACCAATTCTGCACATAATGCCTGAATTTCAGATAGATTTTCCTTACCTGCACGACTGTCTTTGAGGCTAACGTTTCTGATAAACTCGTGAGAGGGAGCACACTCGTTGGTCATCTTATTGATTTGTTGCTCTATGAAGTCGAATGACTTTTCGTTGAGGCTTCCTCCACATCCCTGCAAGAAAGTGGAAATAAGTTACCTTTTATCTCATCCATAGTGAGGACATGTTCTCCGGTATCCTTGAAAGCGATCCCAAGCTTCACACAAGTATTCATCAGGTTCTTGCAAAAATGAGTTAATATGTTGTTTCGCGAGCTGAGTCTTGCTAGCGGGGAAGAACTGCTGTATGAACTTTTCTTGCATCTATTCCCATGAGAAGATGGAATCTGGAGGTAGTGTGTAGAGCCATCTCAGAGCAGTATCTATTAAGGAGAATGGAAAGGCCATGAGCATAAGAGACTCATCGGTAACTCCGCGGACTATCCTCACCGACTGCCATAGTAGCTTGAATCGAGTCAAGTGAGGGATCGGGTCTTCATTAGGTATGTCCCTGAAAGCTGATGAGCTCAGCATATTGATGAATGCCGGTTGAAACTCAAAATTGTTACGATCGATGTTAGGCCGGCGAATGCATGAAAGCTGCTGAATGTACTTAGGCTGAAGGTATGCCCCATAAGTGTCATTGTTGTTCTCAACAATTATAGCATGTTCCTCCATCTTTCTCTGTTGTCGTTTCTTCTTTCGATTGCGCTTAACGAACTTCTCGATTTCAGGATCAAGAGGTACTAGGTTGTCAGACCCAGAACTTCTGGTCATACACCGGCTTCTGTTGTGATCTCTCGTTGATTTGTGAAGCCCAAGACGTCTTCTATTTATTTGCTTGGCAGCTAGGCTTCTTCCTTTGCTGAAAATGGAAGTTCGGATGCAAAATAGGAAGTTTTCCTGTAATGCAACACGGTCATGTCGAATGCAACACGGTCTGTGTCAATTCTCTGTTAAAAATCTGTACTTTAGACATGGGCTGAACATGGGCGAGTTTGAATCAACACGGCCGTGTCGAATAACGACACGGTCCGAGCCAATTCTCTGAACAAAACTTCACTTTTTTCAGCACGGACACAACACGATCGTGTTGAATGCAACACGGTCCGTGTCGATTATTTAACTCGAACATGCTTGACAGATTTGCTCATAACTTTCTGCTCCAATGTCGGATTTGTGTGATCTTAGTGTCTATATGTAGATATTGAAACGAGCTTTCCAATGATGTTGAAAATGCATGATTTAGACCAAATGTGCACTAGAATACCTATAAATGTGCAAAACCGAGTAAAATGCACTAGACATCCTATAACGAAATATCACCAAAATACATGTTATCACTGTACAAGACCCGATTTGGCATACATTGTTGGTATGTTGGGTAGATACTTGAGCAACCCGGGATTGGATCATTGGAAAGCAGCCAAACGGATTATGAGGTATCTGTAGAAAACCAAGGATTATATGCTCGTGTATAGACGCTTTGACCAGCTCGAGATCACTGGTTATTCGGATTCAGATTTTACTGGATGTGTCTATAACTTTCGATCCATTTCAGGCTATATATTTCTCCTTGTCGGTGGAGTTGTCTCTTGGCGTAATACCAAGCAGAAGCTCGTGGCATCTTCAACGATGGAGACGGAATATGTAGCATGTTACGAGGCATCCAATCAGGCACTTTGACTACGGAACTTTGTCACAGGGCTGCGATTTATGTGTGGTGTTGAAAGGCCACTTAAGTTATATTGTGACAATCGTTTCGCAGTGTTGTACTCTAACAATAACAAGAGTACTAGTTGGTCGAAGCACATCGGTATTAAGTATCTTGTTGTTAGAGAAAGGATACAAAGTGAGATTGTTTCGATAGAAAACATAAGTACAAGTTCCATGATTGCGGATCCGCTAACCAAGGGCTTACCGCCTAAGGTTTTTCTTGAGCACACTACCCGCATGGGTGTTATTGCGGATAAGAAAGTAGTGACTTAGTGGGAGATTTGTATCTATAGTTGTTTCTATCGTTTTGTATCATGACACACTTAAGTATTTAGTTCCAATAAAGTATCACTTTGTATCATTCAGTTTCAGTTTTAAGTTGAACTCGATTAAGAGGACCAGTTAGAGATAGACACATGTCGATCACTTTGCTTGGAATCTCTATGCTACGCGTCTATGCTCAGATCTATGTCATTCTTTTGTATCTATGTTGGTGATTAAATGTGGGTCTAGTTGCACCTTAAAAGCAATTATACTCCTTTGGTTCTGCATCGGTACATTAGATGGACGAGATTGAATCGATACCGGTATCGTGACAAAACATAAAGAGCACTCATTCGGTTATTCTATAATTTTCGGTTCATATACGGTCCAAGTGGGAGTATTGTCGGGTTTTTTATACTTTTATTGTGGACCGGATATGATTATTATGGAATAAGATTTGTTATGTCGGTTAAGTCCAATTAAATGTGATCGGGTTTCAGTTTTAACATATTGGACTTCGGTATTGAATCGAGTATAGGGTTTAATATATGCGTAGATATCGGTCGGTTATTATCTAATTTTATGATGGGCTAAATTGGATAATACCGAATAAGGATTTTGATTATGATCCTTGGTTCACGTGTACCGACTAATGTGGAGTTTGGTTTGGTTTTGGTTAGGAAGATTCTTTGAATGTGCACTACTCTTGATCAATTAAATAAACATTTAATTGATTGACTAATGAAGAAAAAGAATGACCGTTGATTTCTTGGCCAATGCATGTTAATGCATTTTTCATTCTTTTTTGTTATAAATAGTGCACAAATCTTCATTCTCTACACTATGAGGTTTTGACAAACCAATCTTAAGAATTCTCTATATGTTCTTGATTCTTATCCCATCAAAGAATTAAGAGGCTAAGGTACACGAAGAATCATAAGCTCATAATCGTTTACGCTTCCGATCATGTCTCCAGGTTCGGTTTCTGAATATTTGATCCAGTTTATTTCAATCCCGATATGCAATCACATAGTTTCAGATTCGGGGTTTATTAAAATTTCGGGATCTTTCGATTCCATCAAAAACACGTTAAAAGGTCCCGTATTGCTATATGTGGAATTCTTAATTTGTGCTTAAACATCAAGCTAAATATCGTGCTACAGACTTTTAATGAATATGATGTATTGGAAAATAGACATCATCATTAGTCTTAAATGATTCTTTTTGTTCCAAATTCCAACGGCGCCACTTGTTAGGTGAAAAAAAGTTAGAATTTAGCAATTAAAAATAACCACTATATACAACCTTTACAAAAAAATCCTAATATATGCATTTTTTTAACAATTATTATCATGCTAACTTAATATCGCTTAAGAATAAACAAACATAAAATAGTTTAAATGTGTCAGTTTATAGTTGAATACCCGTTTAATATATTTCGTGATCAATCTTAAAAAAAAATATAAGAGGCATAAATTTAAGATTTTTTTAATCTAAGAAAAGTAAAAACATGGAAAATCGTAATCCTATACCCGATTCTTTTATCATATTACTCGTGCAAATCCAATATATATATAAGAACATTTAAAACAATGTTGTTTTGGTTATTCTATAAAAATTGGATATTCAAATGCATAGTCTTTAAAAATTTGTTTGTTTGAGCAAAGGTTAAAAATTGGGTATTACAATTGAAGAATATATATATATATATATATATATATATATATAATGTTGAGCATTTTCATTTAGTTTTGCCAATATTTACTTTACCTTATTATAGGGAGTTGATCACGCGGGTACGCCGTGACTCCCAAATAAAAAAAAAAACAGAGCTTCCTCTGCTTCTCCAATGGCGGATCAGAACTCACGCCTCTTCTTTCTCTCCGACTTACTCATCAAAACCCTAATTCTTCTCCTCCCACTAATCCCCTGCCACGCCCAGACGCTCAATAATTATCCACCTTAAGTGGCATATCCTCTAGTATACCTGCAGGCCGTTTGGTCGACCTATATGCTAACTGTAATATCATTTGTGTGGGTTTGAGTTCACCCACATCTAGTCTCTTGAAGATCGACAATGGCATTAGGCTTACGCTTGCTCCTAGATCACATAGCGCATGTTCAATAAAGAGATTACCCAATTTGCAAGGAATGGAGAAACTACCTGGGTTTGCCATCTTACGGGGAAGATCATGCTGAAAAACGACACATCACTCTTTGGTTAATGCTACTGTCTCATTCTCTACTGTCTTCTTCCTAGCTAGAATATCCTTGAGAAATTTGGCATAAGAAGGCATTTGAGTGATTACCTCATGAAAAGGTATTGTGACCTCCAATTTCTTTATCATGTCCGTGAAACGCTTAAACTGGTTGTCCTCTTTTTGTTGCACAAGTCGTGAAGGGAATGGAACTGGAGGAGGTCTGGGAGGTGGGGGTACATACTTTGGTCCTTCCTCACATGTCATCTTAATTTGAGTATCTGCAGACTGAATGTTAGAGGTGATCACAGATCTAGAGTTAGAAGACTCACATTTTTCAGGAGTAGGAGGGACAACATCCTCAAGTTGCTTCCCACTTCTCAAGAACACTGCATTGCAGTGCTCTCTAGGATTTGTCTTGGGCTTCCCAGGAAGTGATCCTTGAGGTCGCGAAGGTATAGATGCTACGAGTTGAGCTATCTGGTTATCGACAAGCTTCAAGTGGGCGTCGGTCTCTTGTTGATGTTCACGCATCTCGGTGCGAATAGCTTCTTGACCCTGCATAAGCTGTGCAAACATAGATTTAAGATCGAGGGTAGAATCTACTTGTGGTAGAGGCGGAGACAGCGTAATTCTGCTGAGACTGAAGAGGTGCTGGGTAGTGTCGCTCTTCGTTTTCGGAGATGGCCTCTACGACGCCGGAAACAAGCAGTTCCTCGCCGGAGGCCCAGTTCCGGCGAACTCTCCGCCGTACGGAATGTCCATCGGAGAATCTACGGGACGGTGGTCCGACGGCCTCATCGTACCCGATTTCATCGGTAAGTTTCTCATTCCATATTGTTTCCTTTAGTTTACGTATGAAACCTAATTCTGGATTTCCTGGCAGCAACTTTCATGGGGATTCCACTAGTTCCTCCGATTCTTGAAAAGACGGCGAATTTCTCTCACGGAGCTAACTTCGCCATTGCTGACGCCACCGTTCTTGGATCTCCTCCAGAGACGGTGAGCTTCTTCTTTGCATGATCTGCATGTATGTGTGTGTGTATATATATATGGCCGCCATTTTTGCATAAACTTATCTTGCATGCTGAGAATCGAAAATCTCAGAATCTTTTTTTTTAAGGAAATCTCAGAATCTTGATAATGGTTTATTTTCAGATGACTCTTTCTCAGCAAGTGATGAACTTTTCGGGGAACAAGGAGAAATGGAGCGATGAAAACCGGTCCAAGGCCATCTACTTGTTCTACATCGGCGGAGATGATTACTTAGGGTTCGTAAAGGAAAACCCTAATCCCTCCGAGGCGGAGAGAGAAGCTTTCGTGAACCGAGTCATGACCGCCATTGATGCAGCTTTGAAAGTAATCGTCCTCGACCCATGGAAAGTTTACGCGATCTGTTTCTTCATGGATTCGTTTCGTGCTCTTGATTTCAGGCGATATATGGAGCGGGAGGGAGAAAGTTCTCGTTCCAGAACTTGGCACCTTTAGGTTGCTTACCGATCGTGAAACAAGAGAACGGACACGAGAAAGAATGCGTGAAGCTGCCGTCAGAAATGGCGGCGCTGCATAACAAGAAGCTGCTTCAACTGTTGGAGAAACTGGCTCGAGATCTCAAGAGCTTCCAGTTCTGTTTTTTCGATTTCTTTGGTTCAATCCATCGTCGGGTTCGAGTCCCAAAAACCTACAGTAAGTATATCACTGTCTTCTATATCAATTATATCCTATATTATATATATATATATATATATATATATATATATATATTTAGGATAATATTTTCGACTCAAATATGTCATATGGTGTCAAAGTTGATTTTGATGGATAAGGGTTAGATGTTTTAATTTTTTCTCTTTCTTTTTTGATAAAAGGGTAATTTGTAGTAACCCTATTTTCCGATGGAAATAATCATCCTAATTAACCCTATTTTCCGACGGGAATATTCGTATCTGTCATCGTTGCCATGTTGTTCTTGCAGCATTTGGAACAGGAAATGACGCGTGTTGCGGTAGTGGATCTCACAACGCGAGCGCTTGCTCGAGAAAAAACGTATGCACCGATCCAAACGAGTACGTGTTCTTCGACGGCAAGCACTTGACGCAAGCGTCTAACTCGCAGATAGGGCATCTGATATGGGCAGCAGACGCTGACGTCATAAGACCGAACAACCTGCGAGAGCTTCTTGTTCTTCCTCTGGACATTCCCGCCATCTTCGGTATCATATCAGACGCTAAGGTTAAGGCTCCTATAGACAAACGCAGCAACATCCATAACGTCTATGAGATAAGGTCGCTCGAATGGGGAATAGAGAATCACTGGTCGTACCAAGTTGAAGGAGCTACTTCCTTTTACACGAAATGATATATATATGGAGATATATGTATATGTATGAAGAACGAGCCATACCCTATGGAGTGTTTTATGCAATTTGAGCCGTTCAGAAGCTTATAACGTTAAAACTCTCTTTATTCATGATGATTGCTTGGTTTTGTTGTGATGGAGAATTTCAATTACATCCATTATTTTTTTTTATCCATCACATAGCAAAGATTACACAGCATCGACTCAGTTTATTTCTCTTACAAATTAAGCAGGCAGAGCATAAGGACGATGGATATTGTCCGCTTCGATCGACTAGTACTCGAGCATGTTCATACCGATGGGGTAAACGCTAAGCTCACGTATGGTCATTGGACCGACTATATCTTTGTCCGCACCAAAGAAGAGGTGAGCCATTTCCTCATTCGCCTTTTCGCTGTTGTGTTGGCCGTCGAAGAAGAGGTATTCCCTCGGGTACTCGCACAATTTCGAGTGAACGTTTATGCGGCCGCAGCCAAAAGCGTTGTGGGATCCGATTCCACAGCACGAGTTCACTGTGTTGGCTACAGAAAGTATATCTCTGTCTTCTATATCAATTATATCCTATATTATATATATATATATATATATATATATATATATATATATTTAGGATAATATTTTCGACTCAAATATGTCATATGGTGTCAAAGTTGATTTTGATGGATAAGGGTTAGATGTTTTAATTTTTTCTCTTTCTTTTTTGATAAAAGGGTAATTTGTAGTAACCCTATTTTCCGATGGAAATAATCATCCTAATTAACCCTATTTTCCGACGGGAATATTCGTATCTGTCATCGTTGCCATGTTGTTCTTGCAGCATTTGGAACAGGAAATGACGCGTGTTGCGGTAGTGGATCTCACAACGCGAGCGCTTGCTCGAGAAAAAACGTATGCACCGATCCAAACGAGTACGTGTTCTTCGACGGCAAGCACTTGACGCAAGCGTCTAACTCGCAGATAGGGCATCTGATATGGGCAGCAGACGCTGACGTCATAAGACCGAACAACCTGCGAGAGCTTCTTGTTCTTCCTCTGGACATTCCCGCCATCTTCGGTATCATATCAGACGCTAAGGTTAAGGCTCCTATAGACAAACGCAGCAACATCCATAACGTCTATGAGATAAGGTCGCTCGAATGGGGAATAGAGAATCACTGGTCGTACCAAGTTGAAGGAGCTACTTCCTTTTACACGAAATGATATATATATGGAGATATATGTATATGTATGAAGAACGAGCCATACCCTATGGAGTGTTTTATGCAATTTGAGCCGTTCAGAAGCTTATAACGTTAAAACTCTCTTTATTCATGATGATTGCTTGGTTTTGTTGTGATGGAGAATTTCAATTACATCCATTATTTTTTTTTATCCATCACATAGCAAAGATTACACAGCATCGACTCAGTTTATTTCTCTTACAAATTAAGCAGGCAGAGCATAAGGACGATGGATATTGTCCGCTTCGATCGACTAGTACTCGAGCATGTTCATACCGATGGGGTAAACGCTAAGCTCACGTATGGTCATTGGACCGACTATATCTTTGTCCGCACCAAAGAAGAGGTGAGCCATTTCCTCATTCGCCTTTTCGCTGTTGTGTTGGCCGTCGAAGAAGAGGTATTCCCTCGGGTACTCGCACAATTTCGAGTGAACGTTTATGCGGCCGCAGCCAAAAGCGTTGTGGGATCCGATTCCACAGCACGAGTTCACTGTGTTGGAAAACCCTAATCCACGTTTCAACACAAAATCTCTCAGAAAAACAAAACCAGAAGAAGGTTAGGGCTTTTTCGTTAATCCCAAGATGTAATAGAAACGACTCACTGTAGTTGTTGAAGATGGTGTCGGAATCAGCAACGGCTAGCCTCCGTTCAATGGCACCGTAGAAATCGAAAACGGTGTACTGAAAGCCGGTGTACGTTTTCGCTAACTCCGCTAACATCGGTCTGATTTTATCGTTGTGTTGCTTCGCTATCTCGTTAAGCTTCTCATAGCAATCTTCCCCTTCTAACTGGTGTTCCTGCCTCACGATCGGGAGGCAACCGAGGGGTGCTAACGTTTGGTACGCGAATTTCCTCGCTCCCAACGAGTACAACCTCTGCAACATAACACACATTGTGTTGGCCATGTTGTCGGTCGAGAATTTGGGTAGAAGAGATCGTTCTTGATGGATATGGAACCAAACTAGAGAAAGTTTCAAGAAGATAAATTATAAAGCAGTGGAGTTACGATGATTTCGGTCTTGATTTTGTTAGTGACCAACGTGACAAAAGCTTGCTGAGTGGAGGCGTCGGGGTTGGGATTGAGCTTGCTGAAGTTAAGGTAATCTTCTGTACCGATCTGGAACACGAAGATGGCTTCCGACAGGAACTTCTCGTCCCACGTCGATTTCATGTCTCCGAATTTCTCCACTTGCTGAGCTAACGTCATCTGAACACATTCACATCAAGAACAAGAACCAAGAATCACGAAATCTTGTGTATCAGCATTGATGACGACGGTGATGATGAAGAAGAAGAAGAAGAAGCAAAAGATTACAGTTTCAGATGGGCCGTCGAGAACGGTGGCTCCCCCGACGGCGAAGCCTGCTCCGCTAGTGAAGTCTGCGTCGTTTTGAAGCGCCGGTGGAATCGGGATGGGTTGGTTGAGAAATGTAGCTGCATTTCATTACGTTACATATATTCGTTTATTAGAATAGAATTCTATGAATAGTTTATACTTTGATTATAATAGTAAAATTCAAAATATGACTTTGCAAATCTTAACAGTAACGGCCAAAAACATTATAGCTGCGTTTCATTACATAACGTTTTTTTACTATAAATAGAATTCTATAAATATGTATATTTTGATATAATAGAAAAGTTCAAAAGTTTATTCCATAAATTATATCAACGACCATAACCCACAAGTCCCTCGATCGAAACCAAACTCTAATAGCATTGTACGAAATGTTTTGGACAGATGACTTAAAAAGAAGAAAAAAAACATCATTAGGATTAATGAGAGATTAATCTGTCTGAAAGTTTAATATAAAAAACTAACTAAATCCTAAAATAATGACACATATCTCACCTATTATCACCCATTACTAAATCTCAAGCATAATAATAGGTCCAATATTGACCAAATAAAATAACTAAATTAAAATAAAAAAGAAAATACAAGATTATTCTAACACAAAAAGCATTATATTATAAGACCGTGAGAGCAAATATATTGGGATATGGTTATAGGGTCTGAGTGAGATCAAATATTTTTATTTGGAAGAGACTAACCAATGAAATCCGGGACGACGCGACCGTCCGAGTAACGACCGTTGGGTCGGTCGGTGGATTTGCCGTACGGCCAGGTGGTGCTTGGAAGAAACTCTTTCGTCAGATACTTCTTGTTTCCGACATCGTAGTACGAATCTCCGATTGGAAACAGGCCGGACTTCGGTCGGATCTGGCCGGTGACGTGACTGGAAAGTGAAAAAGTCATTAATACCCCCAAAAGAACCACCAATTTACCACTCTTGGCCATTTTGGATAATCACGGAAGAAGTGACCGGAAAGTGAGAATAAGAATAATTAGCCAAGTGCGTTCCTCCAAGTTCATATACGTTCAGTTATTTATATGCGAATAAGATTATTAAGTTAAATATTTATGTGATTTTCTTATTTGTTTTAATTTCTTTTTAGTTTTAGGTTAAATAAAAATCAACATCTGTCGTATTCAATTTTGCAGTAGAGCCACCTTTACTTTTTAAAAAGATTATTAACCATTGGCTGATTTTAATTATTATATATCTACCACCGAGATAAAATTAAATTATTATGTATGTACTATTTATCTTTTAAAATCAATGTATTTGTCTTTCTTTTTCATTTTTTTAACTGTCTTTATTAATTTATTACGATATCGTCTTATATAATACAGTATATACAAAACGATCAGAATACTTATTAAAAATTAATCTAAAACATCCATAGAAATGATATTATCTGATACCATATAGAGTTTAGGAGTTTAGTAGAAACTAAAATTCATGGATATGTTACTGCCCTCACACAATAACATGCCCTCACACAATAACACGAGATCTTCCAACGTGTTTTGTCCTCACTTGCACACATATTGAGATACTTCCCACTAGATCACTCATCCTGAGATTGCTCCAGAGCTAGTACGCTTAACTTTAGAGTTCTCTCAGAATAGTCAACCAAAAAGGTAGTTGCACCTTGTTACTATGAGTAGTCCAGCTAATTCTTTTATATTATCTTAGATCGTAAAGTCCCACCCCAATACGGCCTTCGGATCTCTCTCATTCCGGTGTGTTCGATTCATCCCTATACCCCCTACCCAAAAGCTCATCAGGAGCCGCCCCTTGTCCGTGCCTCTGCACCGACGATCACTCCCTGCCCTCCTACGGTATCTGGGCTGTCACAGGCCCACCACCTTCTGTCTGGTTCGTCCTCGAACCACACCGTGCTGCGAGAGTGTCGGGTCTGATACCATCTGTAACAACCTGCAGTCGTTATGAATTATCGAAACTGTCCTCACACAGTAATACGAGACATTCCAACGTGTTTTGTCCTCATCCGCACGTATACCGAGATACTTTCCAGTATGTCATCCATCCTGAGATTGCTCCAGAGCCAGCACGCTTAACTTTGAAGTTCTCTAAGGATAGTCAACCACAAAGGTAGGTGCACTTTGTTGTTATGAATAACCCAACTAATTCTTTTATGTTATCTTATACCGTAGAGTCCCACCCCTATACGGCCCTCGGATCTCACTCGTTCCGGTGTGTTCGATTCATCTCTGTACCCCCTACCCAGAAGTTCGTCAGGAGCCACCCCTTGTCCGTGTCTCTGCACCGACGATCACTCCATGTCCTCCTACGGTATCTGGGCTGTCACAGTTCTAATCATAGTATTTGATGTTATTATATCCATAACATAAACTTGCAAAAAATAAAATTATGATTATAAGGGTTTGTGAACGATTGTTTCATTTTTATGTTTCGCGTTAGCGTTTACTGCGGACGCAGTAAATGCAAGGTTTAGGCCAGTTGTATAGAGGCGTTATGCAGTTTGCGTTTGCGATTGAATCGGGAGAGTGAAGCGGAGCTGTATAACAGAACCCTATAAGTTTTGGAATCCTATTTTTAAAGAATTAATTATTATTAGTATTAATTGTATATAATTATAAAAAGAGTAAAATAAATCTAAAATTTTAAAAATATATAAAACTATAAAATTAGGTGTGTTTCAAAATTTATTTTAATCATAAACTTATTATTAATTTAAATTTAACTTTAAATTAATTTCATAATTTCTAAAACATATTAATAATGCATTATAATATTTATTTTAAAAAATTAAAATAGGTCATTTGAAAAAAATTGTAATTAATATCATTAATATATAAAAATATTACAAAAATTCATTTATTATCATTAAATAATTTTTATTATATAAATTAATACCTTTTTAAAAGCATTAATAATTTTAAAATTAATACTTTTATTTTTTATATTATTAAATACTTTTTATTATATAAATCATAATTTCATTAACTAAATTTATAAATGAACAGGGTGTCGACAAAGTTTAAGTCGGCTCTGGATTGAAGGCAATATTAATAGAAACAAAAAACGTAAAAACCAGGGAAAAAAGTCTATGTATATTTTCAACCCCATTTATTATTTTTTGGAACGTATTCATATAGTGCTCAATTATTTGGAGGATAAATTCAATGTTTTTGGACAATAAACGAACATTCAACCTAGATAACCTAGTTTGGGTCAACATCTTCGTTAGTTCGAAACTGTCGTTCCAAAAGAAAAAAACGAATGGGGAGTCATTTTCATAAATTTGCACCGTTGCATGCATATGATTTGATTCGTTTTTTATTTTTATTTCACTTTTGTAGAATCTTTTTGGTAATCAGGTAATTTAGCATGATGGTTTCGTCGATATTTGTCCGAATACAGCTCGTTGATTGATAAATTATTATCTTTTTTTTTTTTAACTTTCAAGTTCATTGGATTTTCGATCCAACAAATCATCCGGTTCCGAAATCATCTGTTGTTGTCGGACATAAAATTTTATTTATCTAAACATTTTTTCTCATACCTGAATTTGAATCCAAAATAAAAATATATTTTGCATAATCTTTTATCACCAACAAACCACCCAAACTTGATTTGTTGTATATTATCAACCATTTAGACTCGTGTGTGAAATTTTTATATTAAAAAACCATCGTTTTATGATATTTAATTTTTTAAAAAAATTATATATATAGTCACTTTGTAGTGGGGTGTAAACATGAAATTAAGTTTTATATATATATATATAGTCCAAATACTCTTTAAACCATAAAATAAACATAAGACGATGGTTATTTTAAAATATTTGTCATTTCGTCGTGTTTGGCTTGATGGGTTCAACTTTTGCATGGATGTGAACACATATCTCGAAGATTTGTGCAGATTTTCTTTTTCATCCGACACATTAAAAAAAAAAAAGAAAGATAAAATTAATTATAAACTCAAAATACATGTCCTCTTCACTGCAAAGTAACATCACAGAATCCATGGTTGCAAGTTCCAAGTACTTGACGCATGTTACAATTTCCAAGTCTATTATTGTTTTCATTTTCAGGACGGATCACGGGATTAGCTCGCGATAAGTGTATATATATTTCATTACATGTTGAAGCATTTAACCATATTTTCACTCTTGTCTTTTTATTGATCCATACATGTGATTTATCTATTCCGGACGCTATCAATGCAAAGTTTTGGTCAGTTGTATATAGGGACTGTTAAAGTTTTACACACAGTAAATATTTCGGGATGACTATAAACGAACGATAAAAAAAAAGATATTAGCATATGTATAGGGGTATATTAGTCTTTGTCTAATCACATATTAGGGTTTTCTATGTATATGAATATAGATGTTAAACGAACAAGAAAGTGGGGGGAATTGTTTTCACATTAGTAACGTGACATGGTATCAGAGAAGAATCAGGACTAGGGTTTCGCTTGCGTTCTTGGTTCAATGACATGGATTTATATGAAAATTCAATTAGAGAGAACCATGGATAGAAAGAAATTTCACTATATAAAACGAGATACAAACTCTAATGCATTTTTGGTGTTTTTTTGTGTGTGTGTGTGTGTTTTTCCAACATAAATGATTACATATATAAGGTGATACATGAAATATGTCCGAATACAAAATATACAGTTATCATAAATTTTAGAAGAAATATATAATTATATCCAAACTCAGATTAAATAGTTATCATAGAGCCCAGAAAGAATACCAAAATATTCCTAAATGCAAAATGAAAATTTTGGGTCACAATTAAGACGTTTTGTGGTTTGTTCTTGCGATTGAATGCAATATTATTAGAAAAAGGGGAGTCTCCAACCTAGTGGTTAATGACAACCCCATCTACCAAGAGATTGTGGGTTCGAATCCCAGTTATGGTACTCCCCTTGAGTCGCCGGTCAGCTTTACGAAGTTAAGTTTAACTGCTCTGCGTGGTTTGCCGGCTACTGCGTAGGGCGGTGGGTTTTCTCAGGTCCGCGATACTGTCCTGATGTCGTTCTCGTCCGGCCTATAAACTGAGAGGTGTTGCGGTGTCCGGTGTCCGACCCGAAGGGTTGTAGGATAGAGGTTTCCATCGTAACAAAAAAAAATATTATTAGAAAAAAAATGTAAAAATCAAGGAAGAAAAAAGTCTTTGTATTTCCCTGCACCGC